TTACTATGATGCAGATCATCCAAATTTTACTATGTTTTACAACCTCCTATAGATCGGCGGGAAATGTCCTGTGACTGTTAATAAAATCAAGGGGTAAAACCAAAAATCCGTTGAAACGAGGGTTCCACTGTATTAGCTAATATTTTAGGGGGTGGGGGATAACAGAAAATCTTAGGTCACACATAATCTCATAATTAACGTGATCATAATGGCTTCAGTGAAAGATGTGCATTTTGATAATGTAAGTGTTTCAGTTTGGGAATGATCTACATGTAAACCAATTGTCATTTGCACAAAAAATTGTATTGCACTTTTTGTCTACAGATGATATGGCAATTAATTCTCATATTTTTATATAAATAAAATGTTATAATTAATCACTCTTTATTTGATATACATTTCCTTAAATATATTTTGACAAAAAGAGACATTTTTGTTGTAATTAAGAAGAGAGAAATCATCAAGAATCCTTGAATTTTGTTTTTTAGATTTTCCTTTGGTAGGATGCATTGTTTGTAATTTTCAAATAAATAAGAGATATTACACTCAGAACCAAATAGGTTGTTTCATCAAGAAATAGCCAATGCAAATCATACCCAGAAATTCCAAGAGATCATAATATATTATAAAGGAAAATTTATTTACTCCAATGTTGCTTTTAAAATATTTAAAATTAATTCTTTTTTTCGCTTGTGCTTTGTTGATACCTAAAAAGGCAAATGATTTTCATGCACGTGATCAAAATGTCTTACCTGGGGGTGAGGGAGTAAGTGCTACTATTAAAATGATATTAGCTAATATAATGTCTGCACCCTAATGATATTAATTAGATTTGTTGATCTACTTGTATGACACCCCACAATATAATATCAATTATGATCAAAAACCATCCAATAGTGGATGTGTCCCTAAGAATGATGCAGTTGTATATCAAGACAAGTTGGCAACTATTTTATATGAACAATCTTACAGCCCAAAAGAATACACTCTGTCACACTATTTAGGCAACTTTTCTAAGCTTGCACATAATAGCATCGATGATTTAAATTATCACTTTACACAATATGGTAATTGTACTACTACCACTGCAAAAACTTTTAAATCCATGAGTATTCACAGATATAGTAAGTATTTTTTTGTGCATGTGATGTATGATTTTTTTACATATATACAGGGCTAAGTTTTATTGATATTTTTAGAATATAATGTTTCAGTATATGTTACAGATATTATTTGTATTAAAACATATAAAATATATGAAGTATTAAGTTTTAGGATACCAATATCTTATTCTGAAAGATGAAATTTGTTTCATATTGCAAAATTTGGTACTCTTTTGGAGGTATTACATTATTATTTTTTAGCATAAAATATCTCATTTACAATTCGTTTATCAACCATTCCATTATATATAGAAACTACTCATGGATCAGCAAGATGTAAAGGGGAAAATGTCAAGAGAACATTTTTTAAACAACAATAATACCCATTGTATGGACAGATGGACAAAGATACCAGTCAACACCCCCAAAACACAAAAGAAAAAACAAAATTAGTGAATACATAGCTTTGAAATTTTTCTTAATAAAGGTTGCTCATTCTTAAAATATATCACTACTTTTTTTTTCGATATAAATAGTAAACATCATCAATCACAAATATAGTTTATTTCATTTTTAAGAAATACTGTGCTTATATAGGTGACTTGCACCATAGCATAGACAAAAATCCTTTATGGATAGATTGGCATTACACACATTTAATAGACATTTCAAAAAAAAGATCAACAATTTATATGTGAAGAGTATTGTAAAATCGAAAAAGTACCACTTAGAAAAGTGGTGCTGCACAGACTATATAACACCACCTCAAATTTTGCACAAATGTTCTGTTATTATTGTTCTTTCTGAGCGGAATTGGATTTTTATTAATAACAAAGTTGCTCTAAATTTGTCATATCATCCAAATTTGTGATGTTCTACATTTTAACTTGACGTGCATAACATAAAAAATAAAACTGATACACAGAACCTCGATTTAACGGATAGTTTGGGCAATTACTAACTAATATATGTATATATATATACCTTTAGAGTCTTTTTGGTATTTTATATGATGAAGTTTCTTCATTGTTGTCAATTGGATTATTAATTATCAAATGATCATTATCAATTCTGAAATAAAAATAGTCATAAATTAATTTAATAAATTTTTTTACTTGTAAAATTGATTTTTCTTTTTTGTGAAATATCCAATTACCAAAATAAAATATAAAACTTATTAGTACAGTTTAATAAGTTAAAATAAAAAAGGGTTTTATATACATATGAATATTGCTGATGTAGATTTTTCTTTGGAATTTCAATTCAACAATTTTTCTAAAAAATTTTCATATATTTATCTAATATTTAATTGACACAGCCTATGCGATTATTAGAAAACCTAGTAGATGCCTCATCTTCACATAAATCATAAGCAACCAAAACAGAATTAGAATGTTTTCTGGAAAGTGAATTTGGATCCTTTGATCCAATTGATACACTCCTTTTTATTGTAAGGATTTGCTAAAAAAAAATCATCTTTTTTATTGTTAAAACAGATGCTTTGCTAAAAATTAATCATCTTGAAAATATAGATTCGGATGTTGATTGTTGCCGCCATTATAAATAGAAGAGGATGATAACCTTTTTAATACAAGACTTTAATCGTTAATTTTAATACTAATCAAAAATGAATGCCATGTTTTTTTAATAATAATGAATGCAAATATGAATGCCATGTTTAATAATAAATGCATCGTTATTTGGTACTAATCAAGATTGTCAAATAATAAATGCCAATGCCACATTTATTAATAATAGTTTTTGGCACTTATTGATTTATTTTTATTACTAAATTTATGGCTAGTATAATAATATATTAATTTCCAATTATGCCTTGCACAATTTGAAATGATTTATTTTCTTATTATACAATATTGTAAGTATTATTAATGCCTGTCCTTTTTAAGAAAACATTAGGGACAGGTAGCAATGGCGCAGTAAACCCATCCTTTTTTAGTGGTTGTATCCGCCGAATGATATTCACCAATTATTCACCAATTATCCGGTTAATTGGGGTGTTGAAAATTTTCACCAAATAATTGGAATAATCAGTGGTACAGAAAATAAAAAATAAAAAATTTTATCCACGTAATTAATGTAAACAAAATTGAACTCATTTATTATTTGAAAGTATTGTATTTCTTAAAAAAAATATGCAATGTGTGTGTTGAAAATAGTTTTCTTGATCTTGATGAATAAAAATTTATTATATTTTTCCTGATGAATAAAAAAATTTTTTTTAAATAAATTTAATATTTAATATTTAACGGATATTCGGCAGATATTCAGCGGATATTTGGTGAATGACCAATTATCCGGGTGTTGAATTCTATTGACTGACCAATTATCCGGATGTTGAGCTTTATTGATTGACTAATTGTTCAAACACCTGGATAATCAACGGATACAACCACTACCTTTTTTCACCCGTCCTTCTCAATATTTTTCCATTACCATGAATATTAGAAAAGGACAGGGGACGGGTTGCTGTGCCTTGACCGCGCCACGTCCGTCCTTTTCTAGTATTACAGTCAGGGATCTTTCCAAATATGGAATGTGGCTAATACAACAATTGATTGACAATAAATGTCTTCTTTCGGAATGGTATTATTTATTAGAGTATCACAAGACCTTCCTTTATATTAGTCACGGGACATTGCAGATCAAGTGTCATTCAATATA